CAATTGAAAGCTGCATCCCTTCCCCCACTCCTTCTGACGTGCCCACTGGACGTCTGTCGACGACCTACGAACGCACTCAACTGCAAGATTCCTATATCTACCAACAATTTTCCTACTCTACAAGAACTGTGAGTGTTTCCAAACCTTAACAAAATTCTACTCGCTTAAAGAACTTTTTAGGCGCTCAGAGAAATATTTTGATCAAGACTTTTTTCTGTTATGAACATTTTCTCTTCCCTTAAAGGACATTTTCTTTTCCCTTTCTTTCACTCCTAATTGTCTTTACCCTTTTTTTTCTGTATATGTAAATAAACACTTCCTTCTTTTATTGTTACACACCGAGCAGGAGTTTTTTTCTTTATTCGTCCTCGCCTAAAAGAGAGAGTTTGTCTGCTCTAATCTTGCCGTTTTTTATTCACGTTTTGTCGCAATTTTTTTAACCTCAGCCCAATTTTTTAAACTCAACCCTTGGATGCAGGAAAGCCGGGACAGATTTCCCAGCACCGTGTAAATATTTCACTATTTCTTACTTCTGACTCTATGATATACGCACATAATCCTTTAAAGCCTCCTTTAACTTTTTCGCTTTTTTCCCCTCTTTTTTATTCCATATTTGTGTCCTTGTGCCATACTAATAAAAAACAAATAGCAACATCCTTCCTTTTTACTTTCTCCTGCATTGCCTGTTGCCCACTGACGCAAGAAGAGAAAGGTAATTTGACACTGTTCTTTGCCAGGGATATGCGAGCTAATTAGATACTAAGCGTATTGTCTTGAATGCTTCAAGTGGCATGTTGAGCGCGCCAGCCTCTTCTTTTCTCTCCTTCAGGTGGTACGTTAAAAATACTAAAGAACCTCATTATTCTCCAATAATTAAAGTAGATTTGTTTTTCGCTTGTAAAGACATGGCATCATGTTGAAACACCTGCCAATGTTTCTAGATTTACAATTCCAGTAATGACTGCAGGTTTTAAAGACATTCAATTAAAAACTTAAAATGCCGAGCAATAATTCATCTTCCCAACGGATGTTTAAAATCACAGATAGTACTGAACATTATACATAACATGATTTTCCTATGCATATATGATAAAGTTTGATTTAAAGTTTTAACGCCTCCAAAACAAAACTGCTTATCATCATAGATAATTTATGGGCCTGTCATCAGCATGGCTGATGCTAACCTCCAGAAGAGCGACTCTTTACGCCTTCTTGGCCTCACATTTTTCACTGACCTGAAGTGGACAGATTATATTTAATCTAAAGCTAGATCTGCTGCCAGGAAATTTGATTCACCGTGTCGTACCAGACAATTTTTCTTGTCCCATTTATAAATCTACCATTAGTTCGCGCATTGTATATCGTTGCCATATCTCGTTTGGTGCTGCCATTTCAATATATCACTTCCGTTAAGTTAGCTGTCTAAATAGGTCATGGTCTGATCACTCCTCCTCCCCCAATAGAAAGTATGATTGAGAGAGATATGAAATTAATCCCTCCCTAAACTCTACCATGTCTCTTTAACTACCCCTTTTACACTCTCTGTTAAATTACAAAAACTTACACTGCCCATCAATTTTAATTTCATTTTTCGTTTCATTTCATTTTTGAAGTGTTATCTGATGATCCAGCGTCCTTAAAAGGGCTCTAAGTATAAAAATATATATATATATATATATATATATATATATATATATATATATATATATATATATCGATGTTCTTGAGAAAATTCAAAGTGTCGGTAATGTAATCGATTCTAACCTGGCAGCTCGACTTCAGTCACTTTCTCAACATGACGTGGCTTCCCTCTGTCTTTTCTACAAATATTTCCATGGCAATTGTTCAGATGAGCTTATATGCGTTTTATTTATGTATTACATGCAGGTATTTATTAAACTTAGTTTAGCCTGAGACAGCCTACGGTCATATCACATTGAAACACTGGTTCACCTCTAGTCATCGAAGTTAAGTAACGTTGAGTTATATATATATATAAACACACACACACACACACACACATACATACATACATACATACACACACACACACACACACACATATATATATATATTATAGTAAAAAGAAAAAATAAGATATATAATCCGGTGTTCTAAATGATATTTTTTATTTTCACAAAACAGTGCTCAATGTGAATTTACAGACCATAAATATTATAAATTAACAAATAGGAACTTATATCAAACTAACATGTTTCACTTTTATTAAAGCTGAAGACAAAGAATGCACTTTTAAACAAGAGTTACGAAGCGATTTCCGAAAAACAAAATATAAAAAAGAAAAAGGTAAAAAAAAAAGCAAAAGAAAAACGTAAAAAAGAAAAATCTAAAAAAAAAGACAAAAGAAAAAGGTAAAAAAAAAGTAAAGAAAAACGTAAAAAAGAAAAATCTAAAAAAAAAGACAAAAGAAAAAGGTAAAAAAAGAAAAAAGTTAAAAAAAAAAAGAAAAAGTTAAAAAAAAAAAACAACTTGTTGCCAAAGGATATGACCAAAGTTTCCCCTTCCTTTAGTGGTAGGTTCTCTCGCAGGGTAAAATAGAGGGATAAGGAGAAATAACCAATAGTAACGAACGACAAACACGGGAATATCATTTAATAAGATTTAATTATCACAAGACAACATAGGAAATATTTCTGCGTGGAAAGATGTGTGAGTTATATTTCTGTATGGAAAGATATACACGTTAAAGCAAAGACTTAGATTTTGTCTTTCGCATGAAATAAAACAACTTTTCTCTTTTTCTTTCCGTCATCTTTCTTATTTTTATATTTCTCTTTTTTCTTTACTTTCATTTCAATTCTTTTGGCTCTTGCAATGATATCCTTTAATCTGTTATTCATTCTTCACTATTTGGATCCCAAGAGATGGTCGTTTCTTTTTTTCACAACTTCAGCAAATATAAAATTCCTCTTTCAGTTAGAAAGGTTTCAGCGCCATATTGGTCACCGTTTTTCTCAAACTCAATAATCGACTGAATCGCACATGCTTGTCTTAGGTGATTAACACACTGAGTAATTCACTAGTGCATTTGGTTAGGACTATTTGACTTGTCAAATGTATGTCCATATGCGGCATAGTGTGTGCGTGAGTTAGAACTGGACTCCATTACGCGATTCCCTTTGGTTGACGATTACAAATGAAAAGGGCATTGATCGCTTAAAGCCCTTCTGTTCAACTGACTTTTCCGATATTTTCCCGCTCAACTTTTCGTATTGGATGACGTGATTCTGCACGTATGTGAGATCCTATTTTTAGCTCGATCCAATTTCTAAGGTTAGCAGTCTGCCCCAATGGTTCTGAAGTCGTTCGACTAATGTAACAGGTTGATAGTGAGAGGGTGAGTGAATATAACAATTATAGAGAGTGGGAAAGAGAGATGTTTGCTATAAGTATGTCTGGTTAGGGGTTTGGCTGCGTAAGGACGTAACACAGGCGTGCCATAAACTAGAACCCTGAGGCTCCCTGCTGCAAGGCTGACCGCACAAAGGTGAAAATAAAAAAAAACAGAACTAGACAAACACACTCATACAATTACAAATATACATTACCATTCGTTGGTAACTTAGACATAAAAGACTTTTCAAAAAGCTACATACACAGAATTATCTACGGTTTTAATTTACTTGACACATGTCTTGTTAAATTCGATCTTATTTGCATCTCCCTTAGATGCATAGCAATGGAAATTGTTTCGGAATTAAAAAAATATTTTCCTGAAAAGAAATTAACAAATGAATTAAGTTTCAAAAGAAATCACGTTTTATATTTTGCAATTCATGGCATAAATCAAGAACTTGTTCTCGCAGAAGTACCTTTCTTTCTTCCCGGCGCTGCACAAGTATGTCCTTATACACCACTGATTAAAAATGTTCTTTCCGAATTACCAAACATAACTGAGGCCGTATTTATTTAGTTCTTGTGTTAACTGTACAATAGAAGAACTTTGATAGCCAACATTGATCTTCTGTGGTCGTAGTAATAGTAGAAAATAGTAGCTGTATTAAGTTACAGTCCACGCCGTCTGTCAAACTCTCTGCATTAGCAGAGAGGAACCCGGACGAAGCTTTGCCGAAGGGCAAGGTTTCGTTCGGGGAGGTTATGACAGCTCTCGAACTCGCCTAGGCGAGTCGAAGGCTATATTTTTGGCCGGGCCTACGGGCTCGGTTGACCACGTAAAACTCGGCCTCACGTGGGGGGACAGCTAAATATTGTAGTAATAGTACAAAAACAGAACCCACTGTTTTATGTAACTCCATACGAACGGAAAATGGAAGAAAAGAGAAATGTTTTCTTATGTCAACTCGTCTGACTGCTTCATCTCTTCGGATAGCAGTGTCCCCTCTTCCAACACGGGACGCACGAAAGGGAGACAAGATTATGTTTCCTGGTTAGTATGGCGTGTATTTAGTGGGTAATTTGCTTTCGTGGTTAAAGGAAGGTAAGTCGTGTTACTGAATATGAAAGAACTCCTTTGATTACACTAACCATGACCCTCTCTAATTACCAAACTCCTCACAAGGCAAGATGTGGCACAAGGCCAGTTTTTAACGTGGAGCGTTCCGAGCCTGTAGGCTCGTGCAAATATTGCCCGTAGACCCTGTATACACGGGGTTGGATTTGTCTACATCCCCAAACGAGACTCTGGCCTTCAGCATAGCCTTGTCTGGGCTCCTCTCCGCCCGGAGGCAGAGAGTTCGACAAGAGAGGAAGAGAAAGCCTCCTCCTCTCTCCTGACCCTCCTAGGTGAAGCTAATATATATATTACATTTTAAAATACAAGCCACTAGTAAACAAAGACTGGAAAATTCTCATTTGTAGCAATTTTTACTGCTGGAATACATTCTTTTTACTTAATTAATAAATTTGAAGACCGTAGTATATTCAATAGATTTATTAAAGAGAAAAATGTCAAATGAAAATTAAAAAAAAACAAAAAAACTAGAAGCTTATAAACAAAAACGATAAAAACAGAAAATTTGTTAAAAATTGCAAAGAAGAGAAAACGAAGGGAGCCAATGCTTGGAACGCGAAGAATAAAAATGTCCGTTAGATCGAAAGAAATGTCCGTTATATCGAAAGAAATGTCCGTTAAATCTGAAAGCATTCATGATATACCAAACAGAAATTTCTCTCCATTACTGCGCCACTTCTCCACTTCTCTTTCCTCTAAATTTTCGTGTAAACGTACTTCGGAATAATCGCGGGGGAGTTGGATCGAATAGCATTACACACACACGCACGCACAGAAAGAGAGAGAGAGAGAGAGAGAGAGAGAGAGAGAGAGAGAGAGCACGTAGTCACAAATACTAGTTATACAGTATTATGAACTCGGATATTGTTTAACGTGGTTTGCTGTTAGACACGCCCTAATCTACCTCAATCACAATTTTATTTTTAGCGATTGTTGTGCGTCAGCTTTACTTGAATGTATCGTCATCAGATATCGAAGGGCTGCCATAAATATGGATCATTCGGTGATTATTTTCAATCCTAAAATAAATCACATCACATCAAAGGATATTTTCAAAATTAGAAGCTTGGGTTTGTCGACAAAGACACACGGAGTGAATGATTTGCTGTAAATTCTCTGCTTACTTTGGTTGTCAGTTCCGCTTTGTTATTTATAAATTTGCGAGCCAAGATAACTTACTGAGCGTCTTCTCAACCCACCCCGCCCCCACCACATTCATTATTTCACCCACTCACTTTTACCATCAATGACTAAATTTCTTCCTACATTAACAATCTCTGATTACTAGTCGAGACGACGAAGGAAACTTATTTAAGTTTTGTTTTAGCAGGCAGATCGGGAGGACTATGACTGATGTAATCATTACGGAATGTGTCCGCTGTTGTAGACCTCTGATAAACTTCACAAAATTTCTAGGATACGTCGCGAAGAGCAATATTTTACAAGTTGATCTCGAGCATCATTAATTAATATCATAAGTTTGATTTTCATTTGATGTAATACAATTGTAACCTTGATCCTAATTGGATGTAATACAATTGTATCCTTGATCCTCATTGGATGTAATATAATTGTAACCTTGGTCCTCATTGGATGTAATACAATTGTATCCTTGCTCTTCATTGTAACCCTGTACGAGGCGTAATCAAGCTAAATATTTAAACGCCACTCGCCGCAGAAAGACGGTTTTAGAGTTAATTACGTAAATTATTACTAGTATAGATCGATCCGAGGCCAATGAACACAAACCCCCTGGGAATAAGAGATTAGAGCAACTGAAAAATCATGGAATATTTGCAACAAAAATAATTCATATCAAAATCTCAGAATAAGAAATAAAAAATTACTTCAAAATATTCAAGTAAACACACTTAATTCTAGTTCTAAGTGTATTTTTAATCGGTATCACTCAATTCAAGGCAATAAAGCCACTAAGACACCAGGGCCTAGAGGGTCTGGAAGAATTAGGAACAGAAACATTAATAATGAGAGGGAAGAGAAAAGAGTAATCAGGAGGACAGTAGATAGTGATTGACATTGCATTTAAATTTTTGAAGATTAAAGTTGGATGGAAAGCATGGACTCGGTAGGGTGTTTCACAAGAAAGGCATTAAAGCCACTAAGACACAAAGGATTACAGGGTGTGGAAGAATTAGGAACAGAAACAGTAATAATAAGCAGAAAGAGAAGAGAGTAATCAGGTGGACAGTAGATAGTGATTGACATTGCATTTAAATTTTTGCAGATTAAAGTTGGATGGAGACCATGGAGTCAGAAGGGAGTTCCACAAGTGATGAATGTAAGAAAAGAAACTGTTAGCATAGAACTTCCGGCTACATCTGGAGCAGCTCAACTGTAAATTGATGAGATCTCGACGTCAGTCTAGTACTGTACTTAAATTCAGAAAGTCTAGGTAATCATAGCGAAGAACTCATCCAAACAATTACCATGAAAGTATTTATAGAAAAGTCGTTTGGTAGACGCCACTAAGATGCATGCCTGACGCATGGATAGATACAGCCTTTTGTAACATGACGTGCTGGACACGTGTGTAAAGACTACTTTTGTGACATTCTCTCTTTTTACCTTTAAGGGTCGGACAGAACATATTTCTATATTTTGTTTATCAAGTTCTTTTTCTAAAACCTAAAAGCTTTATTTACGTTTTCACGATTTTTCCTAGACGGTATTTGCGTTTAGATTATAGATTTTTGCGTTATAATCTGCTTTCGACGCCCATACCATGTTCACTCAATATTTATTGCTGACTTACAACCATAATTATTATTAATTTTGATGGGTACACCTTTTATCTTATTTTATTTTTCTTTATTTTGATTTTTTGCTTTTTATCGCAACTCCTAGGCCCTTCGATCGTTAAGCAGCACAGATAGGAATAAAAAAAAAAATAATAAGCATCAGATGAGGTTTGAACTTGGGTTCCTTATGTTTATTTCAACATTTACGGGAGTTTTCTTTTTCATTTCTGATCCGCGCTGCTTGTTTAACGATCGTAGAATGACGATCTTAGCGATGCGATAAAAGCAAGATATATAATATGAAAACATATTAATAAAAAATTAATAACAATGTCAATGCTTAATATAAAAAATACGAATAAGCATTGATTATTGTTTCATTCCTCTCACTGCGTAAGAATATCTCACTACTTATGCAATGAAAGAAAGTTTCAGCGTATTTGTTAAATAAATCTTACCTGTGTTATTACGGGTTACATAAATATATAGTTATATATAAATACTAAATTACCCGTGTCGAAAATATTTCACTATGAGTCTGGCACGATACCGTTGTCCGTTTTCTAGTATAACTACTTTGTCTTTGCCATCTGTTATGAATAATCTTTTCAGTACTTTGGTTCATCTCACGACTTTATCAACATGGTTGTTTCAAATTTATGATTGCATCGAGGTATTACGGAAATAATTGTCCGGACGCATTTATTGGGCAAAGATAAAGTAGCTGTCATGAAGTTAAGCGTGCGTATCTAGATAATCGTAAAGTATCTCCGTAGAATTTGTTGCCTGCTGTGTGCCTTTTCCCCTCACCTTCCAGATTTTACCATTTCAACACGAATGAATAAGGGTAGAAAGCATTACAACCCTATCAATTCTTCCCTGATTTGGTACTTTTCTTTTTCGGTTGACACTAAATAGATTAAATGCTGTGGGTAAGGGAAGTTTCGTTATTGCTTTTCATTAGTGTCACACACGAGCAGTGGTGTGTTTGCTAAAAGTCTCAAGGGAAATCAGGACAAAAGTAGACAATGGCTCCACCGGAAGTTAAAATGTCAGCCATATTTCATATCAACATTACCCACCAATAAACACTATTCAAACATGATGCAACTCAAACGATCTTCAGCTTTTATTTTGTTTTAATGTTGACATTTTACGTTCAACCTGGGCGGGCCAGAAATTTCAAATAACTTGATTGGAAGGTAAGGAAAGAGACATTTTTTTAAAAAAAACAAAACAAACTTTTATCTAATATATAACATGGTGAATATCTACGATATAAGATATTTTACTGAAAGTAAAGATCGAGTAGTCTGCTTCGTGGCTAATATAATTAAACATTTTTTTGTGGTCAGTGTTCAAGCCCAGACAAGAAGCCAGATTTTGGCATGCTGATTTTCAGAGCAGGATAATTGTCCCTATTTGAAACGCAATCTTCATTTTGAAAAGAAAGAACAACCCCAAAAAGATAAAGGAGGAATTTATCTATCGAGTTCCAAGATTGCTATTTATTAATGCTTGAACAATAGAATTTGACTGACTATTTAAATAGAATTTCTAACACATGATTAAATTTTCGCTCTGCGGGTTTTATTCATTCTTTTCCGTTAAATGTTTGAACTGCAGTGAATCTAATGAAAAGTAGACATAGAAATTCCGCTCATCACAGTAGATAGAGCGAGGTTTACCCAGTCACATTCGTAGGAAAGAACTTAATGCAATTTTTGTCCATAACAATGGAATTGCTGTAGATTATGTTTAATTAATTCTTTTTTTTTCCTAAAAAGTAAATTTTTCAATTCAAAAGCCGAAAAATTTACAAAGACGCTATTTTACTTTTACTTATTTTGGGAAATCGGAAAATGTTTATTACTTTTAATAGGAAATCAACGGGCATATTATATATTATATATAACAGGCTCATTATATATATATATATATATATATATATATATATAGGGCGCGATGGATAAAATGTCGTCTAAATTACACAAAAACGAAAATAAGACTGGCATCTCATTTTAACAGATATATTTAACAAAATTACACAAATATATCTTGAAATATTAAAGAGTAAATTTATTTAATAAAATCGCCACTGACTTCAACCATGGCCTCCAGACGACTGCAGAATCTTCTGCATCTCTTCTGGACGGTCTCCTTGTTTAAGTTGGTGAATGCTACCATAATCTTTGCCTTCAGTTCATCTTTGGTGTTACAAGGAGTTTTGTTTGTCACTCGCTCAACTGCGTCTCACACATAATAATCAAGGGAGTTGCAGTCTGGAGAGTTAGTTGGCCAAATGTAAGGGGTGATGTGGTGGTAGGAATTGTCTGATAGCCATGACTGGATTCTCCTGCTTATGTGGTATAGTGCAGAGTCCTGTTGCCAGATATAGGGTCTTCTAGCAGCCACCCTCTTGACCCAGGACAGCACTACGTTCTGAAAGTACTTAATGTAGGATTCCATGTTGACAGCTTCAAAATATTTAGTGCTGTTGTTTTTGTCTTAGAGATTTGAACGAAGAATAGTTATTGGAAAAATATATTTCACAATTTCTTGTTTATTTTTTTCCATATTTTCTGATGCATTTAAGAAACAAACGTATTTCTTACAAAATTTTTGCAAGCCTTAATTTGATGAGATTAAACATCATAAAACGGAAGAACATCCAGTGAACTTTAGTTTTTACATTCCTGTGATTTGTTTGTTTAAATAATTCTCCATGTTATTCATAATAAAAAGCTTTATCATCTAATATTTTCTGTTCTCTGCCACATTCCTTTTGCGTAATATAGCAGTGATATAAAAAGTGATATCTGATAAGGAATCAAATGTTATATAGCAGTGATATAAAAAGTGATATTTCATAAGGAATCAAATGTTATATAGCAGTGATATAAAAAGTGATATTTCATAAGGAATCAAATGTTATATAGCAGTGATATAAAAAGTGATATTTCATAAGGAATCAAATGTTATATAGCAGTGATATAAAAAGTAATATTTCATTAGGAATCAAATGTTATATAGCAGTGATATAAAAAGTAATATTTCATAAGGGATCAAATGTTATATAGCAGTGATATAAAAAGTGATATCTGATAAGGAATCAAATGTTATATAGCAGTGATATAAAAAGTAATATTTGATAAAGGATGAAATGTTATATAGCAGTGATATAAAAAGTGATATTTGATAAAGGATGAAATGTTATATAGCAGTGATATAAAAAGTGATATTTGATAAAGGATGAAATGTTATATAGCAGTGATATAAAAAGTGATATTTGATAAAGGATGAAATGTTATATAGCAGTGATATAAAAAGTAATATTTGATAAAGGATGAAATGTTATATAGCAGTGATATAAAAAGTGATATTTTGAAAGGATGAAATGTTATATATTTGATAAAGGATATATAAAAAGTAATATTTGATAAAGGATGAAATGTTATATAGCAGTGATATAAAAAGTAATATTTGATAAAGGATGAAATGTTATATAGCAGTGATATAAAAAGTGATATTTCATAAGGGATCAAATGTTTTGCATGCCACTTTATCCAACTAATGTTCACATTTTGAGCAGTTATATTCTGGATCAAAGTTCTTTAACATCAAGAAATAATTTACTTTTTTCAATATAAAATATGTCAATAAGCTTTTTATGCGATAATAAAATGTACGCTACCGGTACCTTATACTAATTTAGCAAATTCATTTCAAGACAGGTTCCAACTTGTTAAATTTTGAATTAAATTAAACCAACTGTTAAATAATATGTTATGGTTATCAGAAGTGGTGATCGTCCATAAAATAAAATGATGGAAAATCGTAGGCACCAATGTGAAACTAAAGTACAGATTTTATGTTAAATATAAAATTTCATCGTCAAAATTTGTGTTGTTATAAAGATCAAAGTTTAAAGAAGGATACGAAAAAAAATTCTTTATAAACTAACATTTTTAATAACATTTTCATCGTAAAAGTTTTTTTTCCAATAAACGTAAACGATGCATATTGTAATGTCGAAGAAAGGAAGTGAATATACTTCAATGATATTTATAATAAAATTACTTAAGACAATTAACTATAAAGGTAAAGGGAAAAAGTATAAAACTTTATATAGACTAAAACTTGCAAGATTAAAAATTATTTTAAAAATCGACAAAACTGTTTAGATTCCTCGAGTAAAGTATCACCTCATGACATTAGAGACGGAGATACAAAAGCCTTTTACTTATGTTATTCATATTTTAATTCTCATTTTTTATAATATAGAAAATGACGCATTCATTAATAAATAGAAAAATATACAAATAATGATTTTTAATCATACAATTTACTTATTGTGTATAATTGACATATGAACCCTAACAACGGAAACATTGGCGAGGATATATATTTTATAGGATAAAGATATGTCGGTTGAATTGTTTAAGGTTCGATTTCAATTGTTGGTTTATTCACCAGACTTACAAGAAACTTTTATCTGCAAAGAACCCTGTCTCATTTTCAGAAGAAAAATAATGTAAGTGTTTATTTAAATAGAAAATAATTCTCTCAATTTTTTAGTGACTGTTCACTACTTAGTATCTGAAATATTAGAAGACACAATGAAAGCGCAATGTACGAATATTAGTATAGACTCTCATTATTTAAATATTAATATATAATGCTCTAGATTATTACTAGAGTGAAGTCTTTGAGAGCATAAAAAGTTGGTTTCATCTTTAATCAGAATTTTTCTGATAAAGATAATGGCTAAAATGAATAGTAGCATACACACAGGCACACAGAAACGTATATATATATATATATATATATATATATATATATATATATATATATATATATATATATATATCTGTACGTGTGTATATTGTGCGTATTGTTGCTATTCATTTTAGCCATTTATCTTTTTATACATACATACATATATATATATATATATATATATATATATATATATATATATATATATATTGTAAGATAGTATAGTGAAAATGTGGTTGGTTATATATATATATATATATATATATATATATATATATATATATATATATGATGGACTCTCCTGTCGGTTTCGACGTATGAGGTTCCGACAACTTTGTTTATTTAACCTGTGTGTGAGTTGCAAGTGACATTTCAGTCCCGCTAGTGATTTGCAAAGAAGTCTACAGATTGTGCAAGAGTGTGTATTCTTGGAGTATATGGCTGGAACAGCAGCAGATATTTTATTCCTTTCCTTAGTTTGACGAAGCTTGACAATGTTTGATGCTGCCTTGTTCTTGATGCCATTGTAGCATGTAGTCTTCCATATATATATATATATATGTGTGTGTGTGTGTGTAATCGATTGCAAGAAAGAAAAACAAGATAAAGAAAAGAATGAACCAAGAGTGGAATAAATAAGAGAGAGAGAGAGAGAGAGAGAGAGAGAGAGAGAGAGAGAGAGAGAGTGTGTGTGTAGGTGTGTGTGTGTAGGTGTGGGGTAAAGAGAGAGGGAGAAATAATGAACGAGAGAAAAGAGTGTTGGAGAGAGAATTGGATCGACGCAGGGAAGAGAGAAGTAAGAAAGAAGGCTACAAACAAAGAAAAGATTAGAGAAAAAAAAAATTTTATGACTTGTAAAGTTCACGTAGGTATTGGTGGTCGGTGTTCGAGTTTAAGTAAGAGGACAAGATTTTTGATAATGATTTTTTTAGCAAACAAAATTAGGAAAGGGAAAAAGAATAAGAAAAGATGAAGAGGAAGGAAGGAAATTAACCCAAGACATCATCTCTCTTCTGGCGTCTGAGAATAAATCCTGCCTAATGAGAAAATGAAAAGAAAAAATATGCGAGGAAGAAAAAAAATTATATAAACCTCTCTTTGGCCATCTATTATTAAATATTGCATAAATAGAAAAAGAATGTGAGAATTCAAGAAAGAGAGAGAAAAAAAACACAAAAAAAAAAAAAAAAAAAAAACACAAAAAAAGAATAAACTAGTGTGGAAGAAAAGAGAACCAAAATAGACTCATATAACTCTTCGGCCATCTTTGAATAAATATCGCCTAAACAAGACAATCATTATAAATTAAAAATCAATTAGAGATTGTTTTGATTTCATCATCTATCAAAGCTTGTCACACTGGAAGCGATGTTGCCAGCGAAATATTATTGTGAATAACTTAAAATTACCAACTGGCGTTGCGTGACATCAATGATAGTTTTTATAAATGGACGCCAACAAAGAAAAGTGAATTCTGCTTGTCTTTGATTCAATTTGATTTTCTAATTAGGACAAGCGGAAGAAAATCAATTCTTAGCAAAATTCGGAGATGAAAGACTTGATAAAAATCTGTTTTGAGGGCAACCTGCCATTAATAGTCGCCTAACAATATTGCAGTCAGCGACGGCATTTCTTTCCAAAGTGACTTTCTTTGATTGTTTTGTGATTCACTGGACAAAGAAAATTATCTCTCTTAGGCCGCATTTATCCTCCCCTCTCAGTAATACTTCTTCGACATCAAATATTCATTTAATAGTTCTTATCATTAAATAATTCAAATGGCGGTGGTAGGGAGCGATTGTGGCTCGGATAGTAGTGACGATTCTTTACAAGTAATAATTCCGATTCAAAGTCATGCGCAGCCATTTTGCGACGCTTATCGAAGCACAATCATTAGAAAGTTTCGTGATGCAATTCTCTCATGAAGTGAGTTCGATCTTTATTTAAATGTTGCATTAGTGGGGCTCTGTGTCAAATTAAATAGATTTTGAAAAGAGACTCTACCCTTGAAAAAGGCATGAATACATTTACCCTGTTAAATTGTCAAAATGTTTTTGTCACAGTTATGTTTTTACTAATGTTCACCCAACACAAGGCCCAAGAGCCATTCAAGGTAGAGGGTTACTATAGTTACTTATACTAGCATAGGAAAGAACAAGCATTAACCCTAGAACACAAACCATCAATTAAAGTTACACCACTACTAACCATGGGTATATCATACTCGATTTTGAAAATATCAAAAAAAAAAAAATAAAAATAAAAATAAATAAATAAATATATATAAATAAATATAAATCTTTATTTGAAATATTCTACATGCAGGCACTTCAAACTTTGTACTTTAAGTTAACATTAATAGGAACTAAAAAACATATTATTTAGGTAAGAAAATCAGGTACTGAATATTGTAATTAAAAATAGGAAAATTTGTGAGGGTTAAGAATATAGCACTAAAGAAAATTGTAGAAGGGACTGAAACCCAATCGTATACAGGAAACAAGGGATAAACCGTTACGGGAGGAGGGAACCGGACGATAGGCGAACCTATCTAATACATTATTTATATTCGGATTATTCCCCCCACTAATCGTTTATTCGGTCTCAAGCTTATTACCATATTTCACGTGGAGTTAGTATACGCGATCCATCGCTAAAGACGGTTGGTTTCCTGTTCTGTCGCAGAAAGTCTCCGACTCTTCCGACCATGCTTCATCTCTACAAGAACCAGATCAGGCCAAAATGGAGTATGCAATCCTCACTTTTCAGCCTTGATAGCGTTCAAAAACGCTTGCGCGGCCTTGTAGGTGTTGAATTATCTTTCACCATAAAGCGCCTTTCCTTACAGACAATACGTCGTTACTCTATCCCTGTTTTCATGGCGGATGTTCGGTGAAATACATTCCTTGTTTCTACCAGTCTCCGCTTACACAGATAGGACCCGCCAGGTCACGTGCACTGTGTCGACTTGTCCTCATTCCCTTCATATTCCATTGGTGAGGAGGAAGTGTCTCTCAGTTTATTTCCCAGAACTGTTGCATAATGGAACGGACTCCCGAGTGGGCGCTTCCCCGATCACTAGACTCTGAATCTCTTTAAGTCTCGGGTCAAACGTTGTCTATCCTAAATATCCTCCTCATAATATACACCTCTTAGTCCCTCGCTGCACGTGCTCACAACAATCTCATTTAGTAACTTTGAGTGGCTCTTGGGCCTTGTATTAGACGAACAATAGTAAATAAGTGTTCGGTTAAGCCGCGCACTGATCATTTTAGTCTTTTATAAACGTTTCTTGTAGCTCTTAATAACTTTTGTCTTTTTGTTATTTCTCCCAGACTCTGTTTTACCATTCTTAAGCTCATCAAATATGTTACACTCTGCTTTCCTCTGCCCCCTCTTTCCCTCAATTTGTCCTGTGAGTATCAGGTTTTCCAAGCCCTCTTTCCTCATGACGTTCCACAGAAATCTCAGCTGCCTCATCCTGATGTTAAGTGTAAGTTTCCTCGTCGTTGCTCTCATGTTCGATCCATGGTATCCTCAGCATCTTTCTGTAGAACCAAATTTCTGTTGCTTCAAGTCTCTTCTTCATCTTTCGCTGCCATACAGAAAGACAGATATTACTAACAGTTAGTACTCTTTTCTTTATTTCTAACGAAATTTTTAGAACTTGCAAAGAAAACAAAAAAAACAAAAAACAAAACAAAAAAACAAAAAACAAACAAAAACAAAACAAAACAAAAAACAAAAAAACAAAAAACAAAAACGGAGCTTTAAATAACAAAATAAGATCAGCAAAATAATTTCGTTAACCAACAATGTCGGTCTGATGATAAGGACAAGTTAAGGACGTTTTCATCTGTATCAAGAGAGACGTTATAAAAAAAATCCTTCTTTGTCAAGCCATAAGACCTTTAGGCATTGTGGTAAGGAGGAAGTGTAGAAAGGCACATGTCGTTGTTTCCTAAATCAAGTGTCAAGACATGTGAAACCGATCACTTGACCTTTTTAAAAAGACAACCATAAGAAAAATAAAATGAAGCAGGCAACAGAATATAGGAAAACCGATTTCTCTTTTTACCGACGAATGCTGTGCTTTCCACAATGGATCAGATGAATAGAGTAAGAGTCGAGTGGCTATTGAGGAAAGCCACCATTATAGACGGTGGCGTCAACAAGGTAGAGTGGGTGTGGTGTTCTGAGATGGTATTATAGTTAATTAGCTGACACATGAAAGTTTTCGAATGTTGTTAAAATGACAGCTCAAGCATACATATGGTCCGATATTTCTGCTCTATATTTAGAGATTCTTGATAAAACCCCCCAAAATCAGCAATATTATTGGTTCTGACCTGGCACATTAGCTTCAGTCAATTTCCGACTGCCGTAAAGTTGCTTCTCTGTGCATTTTCTATAAATATTTTCATGTTAATTGTTCGGATGAACTCCTCGCTATGGTACCTAAACTTTATGAATTTAAGCGCAATGAGGTCTCATCAATTTACAACTGAATTGGCTAAATGCAACCGTAAGTTCTATGCTAACAGTTTAATTTCTCGCACTTTTCGCTTGTGGAACTCTATTCTGACTCCATCATTTCCAGCCAGCTTTGATCTTCAAAAATTCAAATGTAATGTCAATCATTATCTACTGTCTTCTTGAGTAATCTTTTATTGTTTCCGTTTTTATTTTAATAATGTTTCTTTCTTTTTCTTATTCTTTCACACTCAATAATAACCTCTTAGTGTTTTTACTGCCTTGATTGGGGTGAGATTATTAAAAAACTTGGAAAGTGCGGAAAAATTCATAAAACTGATGTCACATCATAAGAGTGATACGTGCTCTATTATTGTTTATAGATATTATATGAATTACGCTGCTCATTAATGTTTATGTGAATCATTTCTTTAGTTTTCTAAAAAGTGGGTCAAATTAAATTTGGCTAATAGTGTTAGACACGGTTTATTATTAGAACGTTTCAGTAATTGCATGAATTCTTCAAATCCTCATTTTCAGCGATTCTACCATTAAAATACGGACGATGTTATCTCTGGTCTTCGTGATTTAGTTTGAATTCTGAATTAAGATATTTTCTTGATTCCCCGAATTGTTTAAACTTTGTTGTTTCAATCAGCCCATTTTCGATGTATATTTATAGATTCTGATAAATCTATTGGATAATTAACAAAATAGGTTCATTTTCCCTTTAAACTGTATCTATTGCTTTCTTTATTGATTAAAATGCTGATATAAATGTTAATCAGACATCAGGAAATTGTTTTAAAATTAATAAACTTTGACACTTTTTTTCTGTTTATTTTGTAAAGATATTACCAACTATGAACATGGACACGATATCTTGACCGTGTTTTGAAACATGAAAACATTATATAAATACATACATGAAACAAAGTATTTCTTATTCAACAGTTAAAATATTTCACCCTTGAAAATGGCTAAATATATAGCCAAAAGCGCTCGGATAAAAAGATCATTCGGACAGTTTTTATATAGTGTAACATCTGAAAAGAAAAAAAAAACATTAGATTACATGAGAAATTTATAAAAAACTGAATCAACTTGTCTGTCGTATTCAAGGAAATGTGGATGAAAGCAGGATTGCTGCCTAAATACACAAGATAGATAGATAGATAGATAGATAGATAGATAGATAGATAGATAATCTTATAAATATAAATATAAGTAATTATACTCGTCTGGAAAAACCTTAGGTGTTTTGGCTTGTAAATGAAGAAACCATTGTCCAAAGAAAAATAAGGAAAAAAGAAAGAAAGAACTCCGAACATGCAATTGAGGCGAAAGCAATCGTCCAGAATTCAAGCTCAGAGTCCAAAGAAAAAAAAACCCCGAAAAACCAACACGAGTAAAGCAAAAATAACTAAGCAAAGTGCTCAATGCACTAAGTAGAGCAAATCTAAATATGAACCTAAAGAGCCAGGCAAACCTATCTAGGTTTCACCTACGCGGGCCGTCAGGGTACGCCGGCGTACCCTGACGATCCACGTAGGTGAAAGCTATGTAGGTTTGCCTGGCACTTTAGGTTCATAGTTATATATATATATATATATATATATATATATATATATTTTTTTCTGTAGTTCACTGCTACCAGCAAGCAGAAATATTTCTTCTCCTGATGATGGCCATGTTAGTGAAACTAGTCGAGGAATGTAAATGAAATAATAATAATAATAACGAAAGAATATTAATCTACTACCCAGTGTGTCTGAAGATTTTAATTTTTTATTTTTTATTGTTCAATATATATATATATATATATATATATATATATATATATATATATATATATATATATATATAACTATGCTATTAGTTATTAGCTATTTGAATTCAGACCTATATTTTATTTCAGCTGAATTGGACATTAAACTTGACTGAATACAAAGATATCAAAATGTTGGTTTTTTTCTGGTGGGGGTATGATAATTGATGCATAAATCATTTAAAATAAATGCCTGGTATTATAGAGTAAGCAAATGTGCAACCGAAATTGGTTAGTAAAATAATTAATTCTAGCTTAAATGTGCTAAAGATTTATACGACACAAAAATTAGTTAGGTTTATAGCAGAGGTTTAACCTTCGTACTCGCAAAAACAGGTGTGTCAAAAGGACAGTTTTTCTATTACTCTTACTCCCTCGACTCCCTCAGCAATGTTTATTCTTTCTTAAATGCTATGTTTAGAATTTTAATAATAAAAATGTTATGCACTATTTAGTTACTAAATTTGAAAACTGTTTCTTAACTTATGGAGAACCTGTCTATACGTTTCAATATCTAATTCTGTCCGCAAATCATTAAAAGTGGCCAATGTATACATATTTCATTATTAAACTACTCTTGCCTGTTTATGCAAATGGGTCGATATTTGTTCACAAGAGCATTGAGTATTTATGAATAATGGATGAAAAGTTTTGAATTCGACTGAACGGAAAAAGGTGACCAACATCCGTTTTTATTTTGCAAATGACAGATGAGGTCATCAAAACAAACGACACTTTGAATCTTCAATGAAAAATCATTCTTCGCTTTCAGCTCTTCTGAACACTCCATATAAAAGATTTTTTTATTCGCCCATAAATATCTTTCACTTTATTTTTACATTTCCTGTCTTTATTCATTGTGTTATTTGTAACCGTAAAGGTCTTCTGGATTTTCGAAAGGATGAAGCTGTGTTGGATCCCCTAATTCTACCGGAATTAGCAACTAGAGGATTGGAAAGAACTTAGTGCTTTCAACAAACTTTATCAACAGATATCCATTTTAAAAGAACCTTTATGTATATTACAAAAGTTGGCAGAAGTCAGCCAAGATTTTGAATGCTGGCAAAAATATTCCAGAAGAATTTTTAATTGTTTCTAAAATACTACAATCAAGGTGTACTTCAGTTTGAGAAATACGTCGTATGTTCAAGGAATTACAGAAAAGAAATATAAAGGAAAGCAACAAAAATAAAGCGTAACTATAGAGACCCTGTTTTAGTGCCACTGACATCAAATGTTTAAAAGTGTGTAGAGTGTAGAATTACTGTTGTGGATTCCGGGATGAAATCCGGTCTCAAAAGAATGATAAACGCAGGAATGAAATATAGCAAATAAATGTATTGACATAATAATACAATTGGTAATACGGTTAGTAGATCCAGAAATGCGGTTAGTAGCAATAATAATATATATACAGTCTGGGAAATTCAGTATCGAAGTATGACTTTCTTCTGAGTCTACGTGCTCGCAACTGTGACTCCTACAAAGCGGTTACCTCACACTCTCACTGTATCACTCTCCGACCTCCGGGTATTCACCGACAGCAGTCCAAGTACACACTGGTCGAGTCCACTTGTATGAAAAAGGGGTGGACCCCATAACAATTAGATTTCTACATTCTCTGTTTAAAACCAGTTAAAAGAAGATCATAGCGAACTATTCTCAATTTGTGTTGAACCTATTAAAATCGGCTCCAGAGTTCAGTACCAAACAATGCTTTCTGATTGGTCCATAAATAATAATGTCATGTTTCTGACTACGTCCGCACGGGTGACCTCGAGTTGACCTGCTCAGAGTTCAACGCGCCAAAAAATTGGTAAACATTCTCTCGAGCCTCCCACGTCATCAGGAAAACTCATAAATATGAAACTTCGATGCAACTTAGTGAGTCCTTAAAGTAATCAACTCGTCACACGAATCCATGAAGCCCAACTTGCTCGCTAAAAGTTAATTTTTATTAACATCAACCCGGCTTGTGGAATTCAATTTCTTTTCAACATCAACTCATCTAGTGACCAATTCAACCAAGATGAAATTTAGAAACCAACTCACTCAATATCTTAACAACATAAAAGAAATCGTAACTATATCAGTCGAAGCGAGATAACTCTATAATTAGTCAAGCAATCTATTTCATTCAATTTCACCATCAACATAAACTGTTTAATTCCTTACCAGATCTATAGCATAACACCTTTTATATTACCCTTGATCACATAACCAAGAACTCTAAAGTGTTTTAAACAACTTTATTATACCGTGTGTACTTGTTGCTATATAAAAATATTTTCTATTAAAACAAATATCTGCCTATTTGATTATTTCTCTTGTTGTTGTTTTTGTTGCATTTGATTTAGTAAAAATAGTAGAGGGTCAGTTTAATTTGTATTTTGTCACCGATACAGATTTAGTTAACTCACTGCAAGAGCGTATGTGCGTGCGTGACAAATATAGGGAGAAAGCAAGTCGCTAAAAATAATTACTTTACTCATTGCCTTTGTTGGTGTGTTAGTCAAGGAGAAAGAGTTTTTTTTTCTTTTTTAATCCACCGCTGCTTTTGTACTAACATATACGGTAACTAGTTTAATGTCACATGACTAAATATCTAAGGGGGTGTAAAACTCCATTTTTGTAATACTTTATTTATCTGCGTGTGCATGTGAATGTTACACTGGATTGTGAGACAACAACGGTTTCCCCGTTTGAAAGATTGGCACAACACAATCTTCCTATCCTCCATCTAGTTCCTGATTTGGTCCTGTGTTGAACTGGGATTATTAAATATCAAATTACATAAGTAAAATGTACCTGCAGGGCAAGATGTTTAGCAAGTTTGTTTTGTAGACTTTTAGATGAGTGTAATAAGTTCGAATCTTACAAGGTGCTCCCTATCTGTTGCCTTATAAGTTAACTAAGTAAATGATAGTACAGAAGTAAAAGACTGGCTTACGATTTTCTACGAATTGGATTTCGGGAAAAATTCAGTATTTCGAATAATGATTTTCAAGGTTTCTTGTCTTTGAATATTAGCAACATTCAATCTTTTAAATCCCTAGAAATCTGTTTTGCTAATATGATTAAATTACAATAAATGGAATACCCAATGAGGATTGAGCTCAGTAGACAAGCGAATGAACTGCAAAGCAACCTTGTTGGCCATCACTTCGTGGCGTCCACATTTTTACTGTCTGTGTAAAGAAAGATGTTTTGCAATCTCTTTTGGTCGAGATGAAAGAAAGAAATTCTATGTGAATTGCCGAAATGACTTGAGCAACAGGTTGTAGGCCTACAGTCCGGTCACGCTGAAAGCATTGCTTCTAGGTAGATCACTTAGGTAGTGATGAATTTGTCCAGTATTCAGACGACCACTCACCCAGGTCTTGTAAGCAACATAAGGCGTAAGTTTAGTAAATAATAACTAGAATTTCGTTGTAAAATTTGAAGGAAAAGTCTTTGTTTGTGTCTCTAGGTAAATTTGTCCTGGAGGCAAGAAAAAAAGAAAAGAAAGCTATGCAAACCGTCTGTTATTAGATGGGTAAAGAGAAAGAGAGGTGATTTTTTTTTTTTAAGTACAGTGTATAAAATATGATATTTCAAAATTAAATACTGACCATGGAAACAGGTCAGACTTTCACCAAAGGGGATTAGTGAAATTCTTAAGTATGCGAAAATTGGATTTTAGGGTTGGGGTTGCCTATCAATATACAAGTAACGAGATCACATAATTACGTGATAAGCCAATTAATTATTAATCAGTTCAGTAAGCGTCTATTTACACAACGCAGCGCAGAGAGATTTTCACTTGGAGCGATGGAAACTGTGAGCTATCAATAATTCCAATATGGATGGTAAGGTGCTTTATTTTAATCTTACCTCGGAGACAGAAATCTGAAAAAAGATTGTTTCTGATAATGTAAGGAAAACTAAAAAAATTATACGTGTGCATGGACGAATTTAACGTCGAAGTATCCTTTTTGTTTCCATTTTTTCTAAAACTTCGTCGTTGTTCACATGTTCGGTACATGTCATTCTCAGCATCCTTCTGTAGAAATTTCAACTGTCTCTTCTTGATGCTAAGTATGTTTCCTTTTTGTTTCCATTTTCTCTAAAACTTCGTCATGCTGAGTGGGTAGGTGAGCATAGATACTTCTTTCATACGCCGTGTTCCTTCGGGACGTGAGCGATCATAGCTCTCCACAACTTCCAGTCCTTTGTAGCCCTTAGTAAATTTTGTCACTTTGCTACCTTCCCTAATCCTTGTCTGGCCAACGATTTACACAAAATCTTTCCTCTGTCCCTGTTGCCTTCAGTATGTCCTGTGAGTATCAAATTTTCCAAGCCCTCTTTCCTTGTTATGTGAGCTCAAAATTTCAACTGCTTCTTCCTGGTGCCAAGTATAAGTGTTCTTTTTGTATTAATTTTCTCTACAACTTCTTCATTGCTCACGTGTTCAGTTCATGGTATTCTCAGCATCCTTCTGTAGAACAATATTTCTGTTGCCTCTAGTCTCTTGTTCTTCTGTAATATAGGAATTTATATAATATAGGAAAATCGATCATACAGTACGGTGGAGTAATGGATAGGGGTCGGATTGAGGAATGGGAGAGCCGAGTTCGAATTCCAGTCGAATCCATTATATTCACTTACGTGCTAATATCCCTGAATCCGCTTCTTCTCTCCTGTCCTGCTATGAGTAAATAGCAGGACAGACTGGGTTCTATAGCCTTGGATGGCAACTGGTCTACCGCAGAAAGAAATGGCAACCTACTGTGGGAAAAAAATCTGCCTCGTCAGTCATGTATCAAAAGAAATACATGATCACCTAAGCGTGTATCACGCATGGTACATAACTGACTGAAACGTGCTAATACCCTTGGGAAAGGTATGATTTCTTCTTCTCCCCCCCCAGCTATGTAAATAGTAGGATAGACCTCGTTCTTGGATGGTAACTGGTCTACCACAGAAAGAAATGGCAACCTACTGAGGGAAAAAATCTTCTTCGTCGGTCATGTATCGAAAGATACATGATTGCCTAAGCGTGTATCACTCATGGCACATAACTGACTCTTTTCTTTGTTTCCAATGACATTTTCCTGTTTCTTAATACTTTGCTTAACTTTTGGAAGGTATCTAAAAGGATCGAACTCACTACATCATTCTACTTATTTATCATTATTCTATAGCAGGGAAGTTTCATTAATATTTACTAAAATTAATCAGCACACAAGCACTATAGTGCAGCACACAGTAAGAATCGAACTCAGAATAGTGAGAGAAGGCTTGAAAACTGTCGCTCTGTAACAAGTAGATATTTATAAAGGCCAGCATAGTTTGACATATGGTAAAAAATATGAACACTCTATGAAGAGCAAATTCCCTGGCAATGTCTTGCAAGAAGAGCATAATAAGCTGCAGCAGCTGACTAAGTAGATATTAAGTTTAATCTAGTCTGGCACGAGGTCACACGAGTGGTGTACTTAGACTTGAATTTACTACATGTTATATTCCCTGCTAATAGGAATATATACTTGACAAACCCGGTGAATAAAATAAGTAAAGATTTATTGTAAGAACCAGTACAATAGGATATAAGGTAACAGTTATGCGCATGGTCGTCGCAAGTCAATCCAGTAGTGAGTGCTACTATTGGAAGATCGGTATTTCTCGCGTAAGCCTGAGTCGTACTCAAGAGAGCCCAGCTAGACTCTGTTACGAATGCTTATAGGTAGTTACTACCTATAGTGTAATCACTCATGGGGGTGACAGGTTATTCCATTACATTAACAATAAAAGAGGAGAAATTAAGAAGACAGAAGACCTTAGAAGACTTTAGTGAGGGGAAAGAACAATTGTTATATTCCATGCAAATGGGAATATATACTTGAACAACAAGGTGGATAAAATAAGTAAAGTTTTATTGTAAAAACCAGTAGAATAAGAAATAAGGTAACAGTTATGCGCACGGTCGTCGCAAGTCAATCCAGTAGTGAGTGCTACTATTGGAAGGTTGGTAGTTCTCGCGTAAGTCTGAGTCGTACTCAACAGATCCCAGCTCGACTCTGTAGTCCGTTGACTTACAGATACTTACAGGTAGTTACTACCTATAGTGTAGTCACTCATTAGCAACATCTTGCCTGTGTTAGTTACTAAGCAACACTTTACGACAGGCGCTTCTAAATCGACCAATGAGGATCTGAATGCTATCTAAACTAATTAAACTAGTAAAATTCTTGAGAGAATGTTACTAGTTTAATTAGTACGAGTGTCATGGATACCCTTGTATTACTTTAGCCTTTGTATATAAATACATAGACTTTTTACGTTGAGTAATAATGAATAGTTGATTTCGCAGGAATTTGTACTTATCTATGCTGTTGTGTGTTTATCATCAGGTGACCATGAAGAATTTTCTGGACGATCATAGATACTTGATAATAATTGGTATTAATAACAATCACCTATCACGTGGTTTCACTCCTCCCTGGTATTTGGAACAGGAGTAGTGGTTTATCCCTTGTTTCCTGTTTAGGATTTTCTTTCTGGTGCCTTCTAAGGTTTACTTCAGCTCTATACTTTTAACGTCCCCGTCTGAACTCTGAAATTTTATTTACTAATTATTATTTTCTCTTCCTCAATAGGAGCAGATAGGTTCACCCCTTGTCCAGTTCAAACCCCTCACCAGTTTTTTTGAACAGGAATAGAAGGGTTTATTCCTTGTTTCCTGTTTAGGATTGGGTTTCCAGTTTCTGCTAAAGTCTTTTCATTCTCTTTCACTCTCAGTAGCACCTTGTGTCATAGTGGCATTATGGCCTTGCTTGGGGTGAATTGATTAAAATAACTATAATGTAGGAAACCTTACGATCGGCTAATCTCATGATAATCTTGAAGATCACTACGACTGCAATGAGTTTGATTCATCCTTGTTCACCACAGACTTATGTCAGTTTAAGCTTAGAAAATAGTTACTTACGGTTGAATTAAGCTTTCGTTAGATCACCGAAGTTAAGCAATAAATATAGTATCAGCATTTGGGTGGGTGACCGCCCAGAAAACAAGATAAATATCAAATCATAGCTGAGTGGCATGAAAATATATTCAGATATGCATTTTCACCACACCTAAATTATATTTACTTATATTTTGAATGCCATGTCACATCAATACGTTTGCGATCATGGCTCTCCACAAATTCTTTTTCTTTATTATCTGTGAATTACCATGGCTTCTTAGGAAAGAAAATGGAGTAATTTCCTGTTGCCTTCCGACAGTTTTTGAATACAGAGTCCTTTTCTCTATTTAATTCGTATTGGATGGAAAAGAGATGGAATTTTTATGAAAATGATCGTAATAGGCTAGCCAGGAATTTGAACTCGGTCCGTTGATTCCACGCTCCACGCCGATATCCACACATCTATTCATTTTAGTTTTGTACAAAATTAAGTGGGAGAGACAAACTATAACATAGGGGAATTATGTTGCTTCAATCTTCCAATGGTGGAGAGCCTGTCTGCCTTTAGTCTTTAAAATACTCGCTTGTCCTTCGTCTCGTTCACTGTTCTTTGTAAATGTACAAATATCTCAGCCACGAGGTTTTGGCCCCTATCAGTCATAAATGTATTCATCGACACAAAAAAAAATAGAACTATTTTTGCAGTCTATTGTTAGTGAGTTCACTATTTAACTAGATACTCTATGATTGTGACCTTGTGATTAACCCACGCCTAGAGTTATACAACTCCATGAAACACTCGGCGAATTCGTAGAAACGTTGGGTTGGAACGGTCAGTCGCAGTTGGAATTTTAACTCCGTGTTTGTTCTTCAAATGCCAAAACTGAGAGTCGATCTTCTGGGATTTGAGATTGGACGCGATAGGTCGGTATTTGCGGGTGTGACGCCTCCTCGCTATACATTACTATAGGTGTAGTAGTAGTAGTAAGAGTAGTAGTAACAGTAGTAAGAATAGTAGTAGTAGTAGTAATCCATTTGAAAAGTTATGTTGAAAGCAAGGCTCGCATCATATGTTTTTTAAATACTACGTTAACGTGTAGTTTTTTAAGAAAAAACACAATGGCTTCGCTTACAAAACAATTTCAACTCGATTTCACACCCAAACAATTTACACGTTCATTTTAAAAGCAAAGTACACTATTATTCATTTT